AGGACTTTTCCACAGATGGCTGCCCATGCCCCACCTCAGCATCCCGGGATGAAGTACAAAACTCTCAAAATATTTCCCTGCTACAGTCCTCGATGGGCAGTAAGACTAAATGTACAGAGTGACAGAGTCGTCCTCAAATTCGCCATCACATTCTTCTCCTCACTTTCTTTCTTTCGTTTGTTTGTTGTTTATTTGCTTTTTGAAGCAAGCTCTCTTTGTAACCCAGGATGGCCCCAAATTCAACATGTAGCTGAGGATGACCTTGAACCCCTGATCCTCGTACCTCCACCTCCTGAGCACTGGGACTACAGGTATGTGTCAGCATGCTTGGTTTTACACTATTCTCTTCTAACATGAAACAGCAAGATACCTGCTGCTCCCAAACTCTATGATGGGGGCGATCCTTCAAATGTCACTTTAAAATCTTAGGGTCAGGACTAGAGAAATGGTTCAGCAGTTAAGTGAGTTTGCTGCTTTTGCAGAGAACCAGAGTTTGAATCCCAGCACCCACATTAGGCAGCTCACAACCACCTGAACTCCAGTGCCAAGAGATTTGATGCCCTCTTTTGGTCTCTAAGGGCACCTGCACACATATGCACAAACACATAAATAAAAGTAAAATAAATCATAGGGTCTGTTTCCTTTTAAGTCCTAGCAACTTCAGCTGAAAAGAACACTTCTGAACTGGTAGAGTGGCTCAGTGGCATAGCACTTACCTAGCATGCCCAAGACCCTGGGTTCCCCAACATTCAAAAAAGCAAACAAACAAAAATAACCTATTTAGAAAAGAATTCTGCATGCAAGTGCAATAGCTAGCACAGAGCAGGTGTGTAGCAAGCATGTGTTGGTGGGATGGAGGGATGGCTGAACAAATGACAAACTCTCCCTCAGCACCCAGGCCTTCTGGCTAACAGGCATCAGAGATCAGAAGCCCAGCACCTGGCAACACCATGATCTCATCCAAAGCATGCACAAAGTCAGAGGCAGACCTGAGTGTCCTCCTAAGCCCACCCTGCCACTGCCACCCATGTGCCCACAAGCAAGGCAGCCAACTTCTTCTAAGCCCTAATCTGTCCATTGCATAATGGTCCCTCCCGCCTCTCGAGAATGGGGCAAGGCTGCCCAGGTGTATCCACATGGGTCACAAGGTTCCCAATAGCCCTTGGCCATGGAAAAAGCTTTGAAACTGCTGGTGCAAGTGACAGTGACATTTGTCACTATTAGTGGCTAGGAGGGTAGGCTCCAGTGCAGACTGCTGAGTGAAAAGTTCACTTCCCCTCTGATCTCCCTGGAGCCCTTGGCTCAGTTCCTTATCAATGACACAGGGATAAGTGACAGCATCTCCCTCCTGGGTCCTGATTCAAAACATCATAAAGTGGGAGTGTTTCACAGTTGCCGCTGCAGTGCTTCCTCAGCCACGGGATAGTCCAAGACTCCAGCAGACATTGAAACAGTGGCTCACATGAAATCCTGTATGCATATGGGGCACTGTCATCTTCTCATGTATAGGAAACAGGTGGAGACTTCCCTTTACCCCATCCCAGTTGCCAGCATTGACACTCTTGTAGTGTGGGGTACTATTCAGTAAAATAACAGTGACTCAAACCCAGCACTGTGACACCATGACAGTCAATCTAATTGTAGAGGTAGCTTCTGATTCACAGACAGACAGCACATCTAAGCATGGACACAGTAGGCCTGAGTGGACAGACATCACCAGATTTTACCACATTACTCAAAATAGCACATGGTTTAAAATGGATGAATTGTTTATTTCTGGAATTTTCCACTTAATGTTTATAGACTTCAACTAACTCAGGTAGCTGAAGTCCAGGAAAGTAAAATCTTGGATAAAGGGAGGACCTGCTACATTACTGCTACAAATGAAACCACCTGTCCATCTGTCCCCCTACTCCACTGCTCCCCAACTCCCACTCCAATCTGACCTCTAGATCATTCCACAGGACATTCCAAACCCCTGCTGTGGGTCTGGTAGAGGCAGGGGAAACAGCCTATGTACTGTGTTTCCCTCTACCCAGATCTCCTGGATGCCAGCCCTCACATGCTGAGGGCCTGGCATCGAGGACCTTAGTGACCACCCCATCCAGGTCTCTGAGTTTCACCCATCCTATGCAGAGGGCCTGGCATCACATGCCTTAACAGGCAATCCATTTAGCCATCACTGTTGGGAAATTCCTCAGACTTATTTTTCAGGACCTGAGAAGAGCTACCTCAGCTCTTCGCAGAATCAGGAGTGCCCACAGCAGGCATCCTGACTCCATCCTGCCCCTCCAGGGCCCTCCAGGAGGGGTGACCCCAGGACCCTTCTACCCAATCCTTTGGGCAACATCTGTTGAGCAAGTTGAAAACACAGGTTGAAGATTAAGCCACTTGGCCCTGGCTGTCCTGGGCACAAGCTAGAAAATATGTTTGGCCAGAAGGATCTAAAGCTGGGCAGAAAATCTGGGTCTGAATCCAGGGGAAGGGAAGAAGGTAGGCTTCATCCAGGGTCAGAGAGGCCAGCGGAAGCTAAGCCAACCAAGGCCAGGAGAACACACAGAGACATAGATGGATGGACATGCTAAGTTGGGAAGCTGGGGGGATGGGACAGGTCAGAGAGCAGCCTTCTGAAAGGCAGTCAAGGAAAAGGAAGGAAAAACCCAAACCCACCCCTTCTGCCCTCTCAGGAGCTACTCAAAGCACTTGCCTCACCCTAGTGAGGAAGCAGGTGCCTGCTACTAGGGGAGCCAAACTTTCTCCTTGTTTCTACTTCCCCACTCCCAGGGCAGCAGCCTGAAGGCAGTGGCCCATCCCAGACCCCCATGTGAAGAATTCACAGCAGCAGGGAATAGACCAGGGCCACAGTAACCCCTACTATCACATCCTAATCTGTGCTTGACGTACATGCATGAGCGCCTACTGTATGCAAGATGGGGGAAAGCCACAAACCTAACAGATAGAAGTCCCTGTCATGTTGGTGTGGGTGGAACCCCTTAGCAAGATAAAGATAAATAAGCAGGTACAAGAGCCTGAAAGGTGATAAGCACTAAGGAGCAAGGAAATGGGGACAGGGGATGGTTCCTGTAGGAAGGGAAATGCTAGCACATGAGGAGGGGAAGAGCCTTGCAAGCAGAGGGAACAGCAGGTGCAGATCCCTGAGGAGGCATGATTTCTGATAGGGTAAAAGATTAGCAAGAAGGCCCAGGTGGCTAAAACAGAGTAAGGAAGACATAAGCTGAGAGAGCTCGCCTTCTGCAGAGGGAGAACTTAGGCTTCTGTTTCAAGTGAAGTAGGCAGACCTCAGTGGCTTTGGAATATAGAATAAATAGATTAATTTGATGGTATTAATCTTTTGACTTTTATGAAGTAGGAGAGAGTTGTGGGGGGGGCACAATGTCAGGAAATAAGAAATGAAAATGGGGAGTGGGGACCCAGAGAAGGGAGTGGAACTCCCTGGCTCTTTCTTACTGCTGGGAAGGAGGATTTTGACTCAGGTAGAGACACCTACCCCACCAAGCCTGGCCAGGAAATGGTTCATGCAACCTCCTGCAGGGCCACTACCACTATGGAGGTGGGCACATCACAGAGACTAGAGACAGGGAAGATGCTATATCCTCCACGCATGCCCCTCGAAGGCCGGCAATCCTGGTTGCTAACTGCAGCCCTTCTGCTGGAGCTCCAGCCTAGGCCCTTCTGTCCTGACCTCAGGCCTTGTCTCTGTAAACAAAACTCACAAGACTCCAGATCGAGACACTGGCCCCTGCCTGGTGGTCTCTAAGCCCTGGACCCTCAGCCTCCCTAGCCAGCCAAGGACATTCTGTTCTTAGCCCATAGGTAAGTTCAGCACAGATGACGAGAGCCACCCAGCCTGTCTCCCCACCACCCTCGGTACAGAAGGAACACAGTAACCCTCTGCGATCTTGGAGAGGTTTCTAGTCAGCCCCCACTGTTTCCACATGGCCGTCCACCAGGCTCTGTGTGATTAACACTCCATGTGTGGAGGACCCAGTGGGGCAGAAGAAGTGCAGAAGGGGGATGGGCTGGCCTAGGGAGCTGGGGTCCCTGGGACTGGCCCAACCCTGGCCTGATTATAGGGAGGAATGATATAGCTCTGGGCCAGCCAGGAGTCTAGGAGCCCAAGTACATCAATGGAAAACACAAGATGCAGAGAGAAAGAAAAAAACTACTCCACAGTCACAGGCAAGTGGAGCAAAAGGAAACTAGGTAACCTGGCTATGTGCCCTGTGTCTGGGTAGAGCAAGTGATCACATCTGCATGAAGAGATATCAACAACCAGACTCCCCCCAACAATGACCCCACCACGGGCACCCTGTACCAGGTCATCACTTTGAGACCCGACTTTCATGGCACCCTTCTGTACACTCCCATGCATATGTACGCATACTTCCGTGGTTCCCTGAGCCTGCCTGTTAGCAGCAGCTCATAGAGTGGGATCTGAGGAGACAAAGGGGTGGGAGGCAGGCAGGAAGTCCAGCCAACAGTCTTGTCAGCCCAGCTGGGATCAGTCTACAGCGGGCCAGCTCCACAGTCCACAACTCATAAGAGGTCCTGCCCCCATCCAGACTGTTCTGAAACCTAACAGGGGCAAGGGCAGTGAGAGTAGAAAAACAGAGTCATGCGGACATAACAAAGCTGAGGGGCAGAGCAGAGGCCACCATCTAGATGGACTCTGGGTCACATCATTCATCCCCCTGCCTTCGGCTGAAGGGTACATGAGCCAGGGTCAGGCGGGTGGAAGAAGACACCACAACACACTCTGGTCCTCTAAGCCCTGGGACAGCAGGCACCTGGCCAGGCCTGGAGACGCTGAGAGGACCTTTTATGGACTTTTCCTGAGGACCTGCATCTCATCAGTAGAGACCTTGTGACTCATTTCTTCCCACTCACCTCAGTCCATGGATCTCGACCCTCTCCACCCCACCAACTGGCCTACTAATGTGAAGGAGAGGCTGGCAGGGGATGGGAAGGTTGTTACTTACCACCAGTTCATGGCTGGATGGAGGAATGCAAGGGGCAGCCACCTGTGGGATGAAAAGAGAAAGCAGTGTTAGTTAGCATCTATCCCAGCAGTCAGAGGGTCTCCTGAGCCACCCCAGCCCAGGAACAGCTTTCCCTAGAGGCATACAGGGCTCTTCAGAAAGCCAGCCACCCAGAAGGGCAAAGCTTAGGCCAGACAGCAAACATGAACTCTTCCTCACAAGTCAAATCCTATAAAAAAATAACAAGCTCAAAAGCCTGGAAGTCAGTGTACCAGCATTTAAACGGTGCATCCCACAGTGAGCACAAGGTTTCCTTTTTCTTGCTTTGTCTCTCCTGATTTTTCTACCATGTGGTAAGATGGGTTTAAAGTGGTTGAAAAGCAGGCTGTAGAGATGGTTCGACAGTTAAGAGCACTGGCTGCTCTTGTAGAAGACCTGGGTTTGGTTCCCAGCACCCATAAAGCAGCTAACAAACATCTGTAACTTGAGTTCCAGGGGATTCAACACCCTCTTCTGGCCTTTACAGGCATTACATGCATGTGGTGCATTTACATACACACAGGCAGAACACTCATACAAGTAAAAAAAATTTTTAAGCCCAAAAATGTTTTAAATAAATAAAAAATAAAGTGTTCGAAAACCATGAACTAAACCTGCAGGGAAGAAAAAGCCTGCCCCCCACTGTTCTAATTGCCAGTGGCTCACCCCAATTCAGAGCTGGCGGGGGGCAGCTCCTGGACGGGAAGGGCCAGTTCTTCCAGGGAATGGGGAGGGGGGCCTCTGGAGTAGGGGGATGAAGCACCTTTGGAGGGTTGTATTATCAGTTCATCTTTCTCATCCTCGTGTAACCCAGGTCATGGCAACTTGAGCCTCCTAAGGAGGGAGAGTGGAAGGAGGGTGGATGGCTGGGCCACTCTGCCAATTAGCAGGATGCATGTCAGAGGCCAGTGCATTCCCTTCTCCAGCCAACATACTTTTCTTGGAGCTCAGTGTACAACCTTGGCTCTGATTCCTGACCCAAGCATCAGACTAGGGGCCACAGAGAGACAGAGGGTGACTGAAGAGGCAGCTGCCTCCCTAGACAGTAGGCAGCCTCACTCTACATGCTGTACCAACACTGACAGAGCAGGTACCACCCAGCAGGCATGCTGCTAAGTGATTTGCCCTTTCAACATCCAGGAATGTAGACTCTATTGTTACCTCCATAGTACACAGACAGGGAAAGCAATTTGCCCAAGGTCACACAGCAAACGTGAAGCTGGGACTTGATTGAACCCAGGCAGTCTGGTTCCCAAGGCCTGGTGTGAAAACGTCAGATGACCTCTGTCCCTACATATAGAAGAATGTGGGGACACAACGGAGAGTCCGAAGGCTGGCTCCTGTTATACATGAGCACAAAGCTAGGAGAGAATGCTTTAGAAGTACCTGGGCGGCAAGGAGTGGGGCCCAGAGTAGGGACAAAGACAGGGAGGGAAGAGAAGTTCTCCTGAACTGCCTTTGGCCACCCTGATCAGGAGTCAAGTCTAAGCTACAGGGGACACTGTTCTGCATAATCACAGCTCCAAACCAACCCCACTGTGGGGGCTGTGAAGCATCAAATCAGGGGTCAGGCTCCCAGAGTCCCCCTCCCAACTCATGGGAGCTGGGTACAGTTGCAAGACAGTGCCCTTGCTGGACTCCTATCCTTGGAGCTGCAGGTAGACAGCAAGGACCTGTGTGGAAGGCCATACCACAGGAGGTCAGGGGTGCCTCCGCTCCCAGAGTCCACCCAGGTCTCCACTTCATGGAGATGGGTAATGACTCTGAGACAGGTGCAGGGATCTCTCCCCCAGGCCCATAATAACCCTGACGGTTTCCCTACCTCCTCACACACCACTCCCAAGGTAGAAGTACCCCTCAGGAATCAGGACCTCAGGGAGCACAGTCACACTCCCTGCAGAGCCTCCCCACCCGCTGGCCCATGGGCTTGTATGTCTCAGGCTTCTGGTCTCATTCTTGCTCTGTTTTCTGAGGCACAGAAATGTTTCCTTAAAAGGTCTTCTATCTCTCCCTCCCTCAGCACCCTGGCCCCTGGCCACCCTCTCAGGACCCAGAATGTGCCAGGAGCACCAGGGCCCCTGCCACTCTGTAGCCTGTGCTTAACTGTCCCACACTCCTGGTATTGGAGGTGGCTGTCCCCACTGAGCCCAGGGGACTTAGGTGTGCCCTGAGGAATCTGCAGGGGCTCTGGGTGACAGTCCTGCTGTACGCCCACCTTCAGGACAAGTACCCAGGATTCCAGAGCTGACACCAGGTGGTCAGCTTCAGGTGAGCTGTTCCCCTTGGCCTGCCTCAACTGGCCTCAGGATGTGGGAGGAGACGGCCTGTGTTCCACATCCCCAACTGAGGGACAGACGACAACAAAGTTGCAACAGAAGCCATGCCAATGATCATCAGCCCAACACTGTCACCCAACACTGCAATGGAACATTTTGCCCTTGAGTAGTGGAAGGGGTTCACAGGCCCGAAGCAGGGCCATGCTGATGCCTGTCAGCTCCACTCACTTGTATGCTCTCAACTCCACAGCACACACCAACAGCAGGCACTCTACAGTGGTGCCAGGAGGAGGGGTCTAAGCACTAGACAGTACCCAGTGCAGGCCAAGACCTCCCTGTTGGCCTGCCTTTCCTGCCTCCTTTCCTCCTTCATCTATTTCTGTCCCTGTGGTCTAGGACCCAAAGTCACACACAAGAAGTGGGTGCCTCTTTGTCCCTTGAACACCCAGCTCTGCTCTTCCTGAGGGCCTTTGCACATAGATCCCTCCACCTGGGATACTCTTACTCCATCCCGTCTGCAAGGCTGTTGTCCTTCTGGCTTTGCCTCATGCCAACACCCTAGAAGGGCTCTCCCTCCCTCCTCAAGTTTCATACACACACGCACTCACACACATGTCCCACACTCTTTCTCCTGCACCTGTACCTCTCCTGTCACAGGCCCAATCACAATTTACAATTATACTTGTGTACTTCCCTGTCCATTATCTCTCTCCCTCTACAGAACAAGAGCCACAATGGCAGGCAGGAACTCACGTTCATCTCACAAACCTGACCAGGAACCAGTATATAGTAGGTGCATGCACTATAACCACTGAAAGGAACATAGGCCTGAGGGGAGGCATCTGTGGCCACTCATGTAAACCTTCCTGGCCTCTGCTAAGGATAGACTAGATGCAGGCAGTAGCAGGCTACTCCTATCCTCACTGCATCTCTCTCAGAATCTCTGTCCTGCCCTGCCAACAGTGGTGCCCCTACCTCAAAGATGAGAAAAACAAAGTTCTAAGAAGAAGGCCCAGGGTATACCCATCATCTGGACAGAGGTGACACCCTGCACTTCACAGCGCAAGGAGCATTCAGACACCTGCCAGCACCTCCCGCAACACCCTGCAGGGGGCAGAACCTGAGTCCCACCTGGGTGGCATTCCTATCCCCAGTGCCCCAATTGAGACCTAAAAGCTCAGCCTTCCTTACATAAAACCCCAGATTCCTAAACTGGCTAGGTCCTGCAGAGGGGTCCCCATACCTATCTCCAACCCGAGAGGCTGGCAGGAAGCCTCACAACCTCATCAGCTGTGTGTTCAGTGTTCACAGGGGCCTTGGTAGAAACACTGTCTTGGGCTTCCTTCCTATCACTTGTGGTTCTGGGTTTTCTCTTGTATTGTTTGTTGTTGGTTTTTTGAGACAGGGTCTCACTATATAGCCAAGGCCAGCCTGGAACTCCCTTTCCTCCTACCTCAGCTTCCCCAGGGCTGCGATCATAGGTTTGTACCACTATACCTGGATCCAGTCAGAGTTTCCTTTTTTTAATGGAAAAAAACTTTAGAATTTTACATTGAAGCTGGAGAGATGGCTCAATGGTTAAGAGCACTGAATGCTCGTGCAGAGGACTTAGGTTCAATTCCCAGCACCCACTATCTATAGCTCCAGTTCCAGGGGAATCTGACATTCTCTTCTGATCTCTGTGGGCGTTCATTGCATGACATGAGTGCACTTACATGCAGGCAATACACTCGTACATATAAAATAAAAATAATAAAATATTTTAGAATTTTACATTTTCTTATTTGTGTGTTTGTAGTGGATGAACTCATACTATGGCATATGCATGGAGGTCAGACGACAACTTGCAAGAGTCATTTTCTCCTTCCACCATGTGGATCCTGGGGATCAAACTCAGGTTGTCAGTTTTGGCAGCAAGCTCCTTTACCCTCTGAGCCATCTCACTGCCCATCCCTCTCTTTTTATCTTGGCAAAATGTGCACAACATAAAAAGTTCCATTTTAGGGACTAGAGAGATGGCTCAGCAGTTAAGAACACTGGCTGTTCTTGCAGAAGACCTGGGTTTGAATCCCAGCACCCACATAGCCGCTAACAACTGTCTGTAACTCTAGTCCCAGGTGATCTGACAGCCTCTTCTGTCCTCTGTGGGCATTGCACGACACAGGTGCACTTACCTACATGCAGGCAATACACACATACACATAAAATAAAAATAATAAAATATTTTTTAAAGTTCCATGTTAGAGGCCGGAGATGTGGCTTGGTGGCAGAGCTCTTGATTCTCATGTGCAAGTCCCTGAGTTCAATCCCAACAGCATACACACATAGTAATAATTAAAACTTTTAAGTTTTTAAAATGTTTTAAGTATTACTTTAAGCATTTCTAGGTGTGCAGTTCAGTGACATCAAGTACATTCACAATGGAATACCACCCAGCCACTACCCATTTCCAGAACTTTTTCATCATCTGACACACCGCACCCACTGAACAATGAGACCCACTTCCCTTTCCCCACCCCAGAACATCTCAGCTTCTGCTTCTGTGAATCTGCTGACCTCAGAGACCTCTGCCATCTGATGATAGATATTTGGGGGATTTTGTCCACCATTCCCACCTCAAAATTCCCTTTCCAAGGCAGATAAAATTTCTCTCTGCCAAGGCAGGTCGCAGAATCTCTGAACTTCCCCACCCTCTGTCCTGAGCTGGCCACAGGAACGTCTGGCCCT